AGGAGGATGGCGGTGACCGGACTCGATCAGAGCCACCGCCATCCTCCTCGCCCCTTCGCCAAACATCCCGCCCCTCCTCCGCTCTGGCAGCGGCCCTCAGCGGTGGCATCCTGAGAGACTCCGGAGCCTTCGTGCTGCCAGGAGCGTCTCCTTCCCACTCCCTGCCTCCAGCGATTCGCCTTTGGGCAGAACCGGGGTCACCCGCGGGACCAAACAGCCACCTGCTCGATCGCCCGCTGCGCTGCCAGCTCTCTTGATTGCACCAAGGCAGAATTTCAGCACCTGACTGCCGGTGCTCAGGAGAGGGACGCTCGCCTGACATCCACCACCCCACAAACGTGCCCTAAGCACATCAAACCCGGTTGAAATCTCATCCTAGTCTCAAAAAGTGACCCTAAACCCTAATCCAACATCCTGGTGATCTCAGAAACCAACTAATGAACCCAGTCATTAATATACCCAAAAATAAACTTTCTCTGAAGGAATGTTAAAAACTAATGAAATACACTATAGGTACACCACACAACAGTGGGAACCAAATCTCTTTTCAAGTCCTCACTTTGGAGATACACTCATTTCTGGCCCTTTCATGAGTACACAAACTTCCATATTGATGTAATAACAGTTTCTTTGCCCTGTTCTTATAAGGAAGAATGTTGCAAATCATCATTTCTATCCGGGTCTGAAATCTTAAAAATGTCCAGCTGAATTTGTGCACGACTATTTACTATTCCCCCATTTCATTTCAGATACCAGGAAAGGAGAAGAAATGCTTAAACCCCAAAAACGTGTTAATTAAATCGTATTTCTTTTCAGTCTTCATTTTGCCAAGTTAAACAAACCTGATTTTTAAAATTTCCTCTCATGGAATGTTGGTTTTTTGTGGTTTGATTTTTTTTTTTTTAATAGGTATTATTTCTCTAGTCACCTTACCATCCCTTTTCTGCACCTCTTCTTGTTAAGGTACATGCATTTATTTCCAGTTTATTTCTGCTGGCTGAGCTGTTACAAGTGCCTTACAACAATACTAGCACTTTTCTAGAATGCATTAGACTTGTTCACAGTCCTATCAGATTGGCAGTGCAACTGATGGACTGTATAGAGTAACAAAAGTTTTGTTCTTAACTGCTGAATGCACGATTTAATCTCATTCCTATTATTCCGGTCCACAAGATTATCATAGACAGAGAACTGAACAATCCACTCTTCAGAGGTGAGAAAACATGCAATTTTGTGTCCCTATCAGCATGTGATGAAACCACAGCAGAAAGAGACAAGAATTCCTTCCCATTTCAAAATAGCCTTGTGTAGTCTTTTTTGTTTAAGCAGATCTTTATTCATCAGAGTTAGCACGTATCACTATCATCTCCTCCTTAAACAAGTTTTCTAAGGCTCTGTTTCACCTGCTGTGCTTAAACCTAGGTAGCACATCCCCCCCCTATTATTTTAATAACAGCGGCAACAACAAAAAAGCCAGTCTGCTATGGTTTCACAGATCATTGATCCTGCATTTTATTCTACTTTGTGTGCTTTCATCTTGAATAATTTTGTCGTTGACCTTGTTGCAAGAACTAGATGAATGTGTACACAAAATTGCATGTTTTGTCAATGCTGAAGAAGAGAGGGGATTGTTCAGTTCTCTATGATAATCTTGTGGACCGGAATAATAGGAATGAGATTAAATTGTGCATTCAGCAGTTAAGAACAAAACTTCTGCTATTTTATAACAGTTCATCAGTTGCACTGCCAATCTGATATGACCATGAACGAGCATGTATGTGTTTTAGAGTACTCTTCCTATAAGAACCATTTCAAGACCTTGCACAGTGGTGAAGTGTAGAAATCCAAATTGTTCAAGTCACCTCTTCCCCCCCCTTCCCTCAAAACTCCATTATTCAACAAGTTTGCTTTTCTCCAGAGACTATAGTCCCCAAATGTCAGATATGACAGGAAGACTTCCTATTGCATTGTCAATTACATACACCCCTTCTTTCAATATTCTGGAACAGAGATGACGCAGGTCTCCCAGAGCTGTGTGCTCTTCTACCATCTCTGATTTTATGTTAACTCTAACCACATCCGAAATAGGCAAAATATTTCCTTAGAAGCTGGGCCATAGGTAGAGTCTCCTTAATCTACACTGTTGTATTACAGAGTGCTCCTATGTTTCCCCTATGTTCTTTTAACATATGTGACCAAACGTATTTTTTGGTCTTTATTACACACAGCCCAATGAATTTTGGTCAGACTCACTGTTTTTGTGCTTTCTGATCTCCAACATACGGAGTTCTCTTGGCTCATGTGTTCCTTTACCTGGTCATTATTAATTCATTTAACATCCTAGCTGAGGTATTCAGGAGGGTACTTCAGTAGCTTTCCACATCAGCCTCTTTGTTTCTCACTCTTTTTTTCTTTTCCCTTTTTTTTTTTAATTTTTTTGGGGGGGTTGTTTGTGGGGTGTTTCTAATTTCAAATTGAAGTCATCTTCATTTTTGTATTCTCTCTGCTTCTTTTCCCCAGGGGTGTTGGAAGAATAAAAATGTGCATCCCATAGTTATTCCACCAGTCTGCAAACTTGTCCAAGATTTAAGGAAAATTATCTGTTTTAACCTCCTTGCTGCAAATCTACCCCAGATGTTAAAGAAAACGGTACTGCTGGTTACTCATGAAATGGCAGTCTTCCTCTGAGCCAATACTAAATCAAACATCCTGTAAAGCGTTATAAAGTATTGTGCCATGGAGTAAGGGTGTGGGGAGGCACAAATCTTCAGACAAAATGTGCAACTGAATCCCAATAATTATAAAATAATAGAAAAAGAGCCTTCTGTAACTTCTTACAGGCAAAACAGTATTACCACTAACATCTTTGCCAAATTCCACCGTGCAAATTTACATTCCGTCTAACTGGCTTCCCCTTGCAGTTTTAGTTGGATTCATTCGTTCTTCCTTTCTCTGGCAGCACTCCGATTTCCCTGCTCTGTTCACCTCCTCTTTAAGAAGTCCTGAAGTAATCTTTGTGCACATTATTATCATAACAATATTTAATACGCTCATAGACATAGGTATGAGCGATGTGCTGCAAAGGCAAATATAAAACTAACAGTCTCTATGATCTAAATGAAATTACAACAGGACAAATAATTGATGAAATGAAATAAACAGCATCAGCTTGAAACTCACCAGCTTTTCCCCGAACATACAAAGACGAACTTCCGTTAGGAACTCTATCGGTCCCTCCCTCTGTACATTAAAAGGTCTGGCATGCCTACAGTCACTACTGGTTATGGTTACAGAATTATGAAATTTGCATCACTGACAAGAAGAAATTATGATTTCTTAGAGATGAGATTTTATTTCACCAGTTCTTTCTCCCCCTGTGAGGCTGGGAAGGGTGTTAAGAAGGCTCTGCCACGCTTCCAAATAATACCTTTCTCCACTATGCCTTATTGCAAAATGAACTTCTCATTCAGGAACACAAATTCAGTGCCAATTCCTACACTGACTACTCACATTGCACTTGCAATGTAGCACCTGATTGTCTTCGCTCTCTCTTCCTCCAACATTTCTCCATTCTGCATGTAATAGCCCACCCTGCTCACTTGCAAATGCATGTTCTTGGCTAGTATGATTGCAACTAGACTAGTGGTTTTATTGCTATTACAAGCAGTCCAAGGAAAAACCCTAAGATATTCCTTAAATTACATTAGAAATTTTGGCTGACATAACACAGATCGAAGTTCAGCATCCATGCTGCGAACGCTTCCTGCCTGTCCCCCAGCCCCCAGGAATCGGCATCGCAGCGCTTCCCCTTTTGTGGCTACGATCCAGACCCATTGCCTCCCAACGCACAGGAGAAATGAGGGGTCTCTTCCGTCGCAAGCTACAACAGCTGACCAGAGCAACAAACAAGTCTCCATTTGTGC